GTGATATGAAAATGTTTTATGCTCAGGGATAGATTCTTGGCCGGGGCATCTGTCCATGCTAGAAAGATCCAAAACTTATGTGAAGTGACGAAAATATATGCTCTAGACGATCTCAGATCGTCTGATGGCCGTCTGGAGACGATCTAATTTTGGAAAACGTATTACTTCACATAAGTTTTCAAATCTTTTTACATAATCCTTCCGCAAATAATTTTTCAAGCATAGAGTTCAATTTTGATGCCATATGATTCTGTGCGGGCTGTAAACAAGCAGTTTGTTTATTTTAGCCTTGCTTTCAAATCGCGCGCACATTTGGCCCTACACGACAGAGCATGTCAACCGTGTGACAACCTGTCCGATAAGCTTGTGTTCGACTGAATGGCGCTTATTCTTTGTGCTCGGCCCCGACTCGTCACAAACGAAATCCCCTTTGCTTTTTGCTCCAAAAACAAAGTCCAGCCTCCTTCCAGACGATCTGTGCCGGGCCCTGGTCGCTCTGCGGGGATCGCGACGCTTGGATGATGGGTCCAAAAAATGTGTAAGGCGTTACCCCCAACAATGTTCGCAGTAATCAAAGATTTGGTTCATCCACGCAGAACGACAAGACTTTAAAGTCACTTATTCGAAAAATGGTGCATTTTTGAAGGCAAAAATGAAAAGGTCGGTTTTTCAAACTTTTGGGGAAAATTTTTTGCAGGTGGTCGCCAAAAACATGAATGTCCCCATAACAGCCCCAGCAGACCCTATATGACTACAGTATCTGGGCTCTCCAGTTCTCATCGCCTGAGATAATCTGGCACAAATAAGCCACTTTTCGCAACCTTTTTCTCTTCTGCCCATGATGGTGAACCGCAATGAAATGCTCAGAAGCTAGCAAGACAAATATATTAGGTTGTCCCGAAAGTTTTGTCGGTTTCTTTCATCTCACTGAAACTCACAGAACATCAACCCATGGACAACTAACAAGGGAATGGTCAGAAGTCGAAGTGGCCAAACCAAACAAGCTGTATATCATTCGATGCAGTATAAAACGCTGACTTCGAATCTGTCTTCCTTATCTGCTTCTCGCTTCTGTGGAGAAATATACAAGCGGTTTTATTGTGAAAAAATCAAACATAAAAACAGCGAAATTGAGCACATTGTTGCACTTTTAGCTCAGCTTCTGCCTTTAAAAATTCAAAGTAAGTTGGCTGCATGTTTTGGCCCAGCATTAAAGGCAGCGTCCAGGCAGATCTGGACCTATGGGGCTTTTACGTGGAAAATACTTTTGGGGCCCTAACTAAGGCACTGCCCAAGCGGCAGCTCAGGTAGTGCTGTAATGGCTGAGATATTCCCCTCGAAACTGGACCCCGCGACCGTGTTTCGCATGGATTCATGGCGCAAAGCGTGGATCCTGGCGCGAAACTGCCATGAATCCATGCGAATACGTTCGCGGGGGCCAGTTTCGAGGGGAATATCTTAGCCATTAGAGCATTGCCTGAGCTGCCGCTTGGGCAGGGCCTTAGTTAAGTCTCCAAAAGTACTTTCCACGTAAAAGCCCCATAGGTCCAGATCTGCCTGGACACTGCCTTTAAGGCGAACTGGCTCTGTACGGCAAAATTTTCAATTTTACGCATAATTTCTTAGCAAAATAATGATCTTTAATAAATTATAGTTTCGTCCAGGAAGGCGGTAAGCAGGTAAGGAACACAGATTTAGAATCAGCGATTCATGCTCCATCTAATAGTATGCAGCTTGACTGAATTGGCCACTTCGATTTCTGACCATTCCCTTGTTAGTTATCACTTGATTCAGATTTTTACTCTTTTTTATAGCTACATTTGCTCTCTGATCTGAAATTCTCTGCAATGTTATCGCCATAGCTTTTTGAGCAGCCCAACAATAACGCCAAATCTTTCCTAAATTTTAAAGATTTTTATCGTGAAGTAAACAAAGAGTGCTGGTAACTGTTATGCAAAGCAAACCTTTGGCTACATTGTACCCATTTTAGATTACATTACGTTTACCAAGTCCGGTATAATTGTTTATTTGATGAAAACAACGGCTTTTTGTTTACGCTTACCACGTAAAATACCGAAAATTCCAAAAAGCTGCTTTTTCAAAGCAAATCAAACTTGGTTTTGTTGCATAAATAATGTTTGATAAGAATCATGTTTCAATTTACAGAAATCTCAAAAGCTTCCGTGTATTTGTTGCAGTTGCGTGTTTCATGACTAAAAATCGAGACCTCCGAAAAAAATTAATTTTTAAAAGCAAAGACCAGCTTGTAGTACGAGAATTACTTTATTCGATCCATACTTGACCTTTTTCGAAACTTTGGAGTGAAATTTTTAAAAACTAGCCTAACTTTGAGCAGATAAAATTGAGGGTGTAAAATTTTGGCAACTATCAAAGAAAGCATACAAGATTGTGGTATGAAAATGTAACCATAAGAAAGAGAAGGAAAAGCTGCATCGATTGTTTTTTGAAACACACTCAGGTCTTCATTGTGCCTGGTTTTAAAGTGGTTTGGAAAAAGAAACCGGCAAAGCTTTCGGGACAACCTAATATGTTGTGGACAAAATTGTCTTTGCAATGAATTTTGTAGCTTTCAGCGATTTGAAGAAAATTTTCGCAAGTGCCCGGGAACTTTCTTCACGACCTGATAGCAACAACGAACACAAGTATGATACAGGAGATCGAACTGCATCTTGGCGACAATAGAAAGGAAAGAGCGTGGAAAGCGAAAAGCATAGACGGATGCAGCAGCGTAGTAAAAAAATTGATGATTTTGTGCTCCTATGATAACAAAAGCGGCCAAAGCCCCTCGGGCTGCTGGCGGCTGCCGGCGCGGTATGAAGCCACCGTCAAACGCGTACTCCTATGACGGCTGTGAAGAGTTTATAGCACTTCAAAGAATGTTATCGTTGAGATTTTATCGAATTTTTAGCTAACGCTGTAAATAGGTAAATATGGTTAGCTTTTTATTACCTTGTACGCTAACTACTAACTAATGGATCTTGTATTACAAACTACTAACCAATGATAGAACAATGTGTGAGAATTTCTGCCTAGAAATTCTGGAAAGTGCATGATTTTTTTCTTTCCAAAATACAAAACAAATTCACTGAGATGGGAAAACTTACGTGATTTTTGAAATTCTGATGCAAAAACCAGAGCAACTGGTTATCATTGTGTAACAGGCGACTTACAGCCCAGAGTCTAGAATATTATACGATTACTTTATAATAAGAGAATAAAATAAACATTCAAGTGGTGAATCAAGAAACGTTAAAAGAATTGATTTAATCATTACCAACTGAGATAGAGGTTTTTGGCGATGAATTACATATGATTTAAGTGAAACATTTGGTTTCCAAAAAATAACGGAAGATTCACGCGTACAGAAAAAACCTTAAATATCAAAAGAATTTTGGCTGAGGCTTCTACAGTTTTCAAATATTTCGGCATTATGAGGAATCAAAAGGGGTTGCTACAAATACAGGGTGTCCCAAAAAATGTATCCACTGTTTGATTGTTAACAACTCTCTTATTATGAGATCTTTTGAGAAGCGGTAAGCACCATTTTGTAGAGCTGGCTTCAACTTAGATTTACAGTATAGAGCGAATCACCTACCGCTCTTCATTACTGTAGGATTACGGTAGAAGCTTGGAACATATGGTGTCGCTGTGGAAAAAGCTGCCGTTTCAAAAATTTTCAAAAAGATGTGAGAACTTGTGTAAAAGGGTTTTTAGGAGCGCTGAGTTCAATACTCAGCTACTCTCAAGATTGCGAAGCTTTTTAAACGGTGTAACCGCACTATTTAGGAACACTGAAAAAATAGCCGCTGCTGCTTACCTCGCATAACTCTTCAATGAAGCATCATAATGAGTTGGGAACTTGACAGTTAGAATCAGCATCTCTAATTGGCCTAGTGCAAAAGCTTTCAGGCTGTTTTGATTCCTTTCTGAGGCAAAATATGGCCTTCATGGTCCAAAACCCTCTTTGAAGTTTCTACCGTAATCCTACAGTAACAGAGAAAGATGGATGACTTCTTCTATGCTGCAAATCTAAGTTGAAGCCAGCTCTACAAAATGGCGCTTACCGCTTCTCGATAGACCTCATAATAAGAGAGTTATTAGTAACCAAACAGTGGATACATTTTTTTGGGACACCCTGTATATATTTGATATATCACATTACGATGTGAAAATGATCACGTTAAACAAAATAGTTCTTGCTAGTGGCGGCTTGGCTGTAGCTTGTCATCATGAAAGCTCGTAACGCTTTGTCATCCGGGATACTCCTTCATGCAGACGCTAAACCCCAAATTTTTGCACAATGCTGGCCCGCTTGGTCTGCGATGGACTCAAGCAAAACACAAGAGTTAACCATCGCTATTATCAAAACACTTCAAATGTCGCCCAACTTCGGTTGTTTATTAATCTTGGCATCAAAGTTGATAGTCGTTTGAGTTTGCTGAGCTTCGTTGGCCGCGTGAATAAAGTGTGGCTGATATCTTGGTCGAAGCTCAGCAAACTCAAACGACTTCAAATGTCCTTGAAAATCACTTCGCTTAAGTTTATAACTTTATGATTCATTTTTCGGGTGGACTAAGTACAAACTTTATTTACAACATGATTGTCAATCAGCCAGCACTTCAACTAGAGTTTTTTTTCTAGAAGTTGTCCTCGCTGCACACACTATATTTTCTTCACCCGAAGCCAGGATTGATTCTGAATTTTCTATCATTTCATTCTCTGACTAAGAGACGCGAGCACGCTTTGGGTTAACTACTATCAGGAACTCGGACAAAGAGAACGTGTTCAAGCCAGCTTGGATTAACGAGCTCAAACATGTTCTTCCACGAAATCTAATTAGTAATCAACCAAAACGCGTTAATACTCATTCATGAACTTGTTAATGAAATGTACGCAAAGCGTCTTGCGTCTCTTAGTCAGAGAATGAATGATACGTAGACATGTAAACTTTTCATTCAATCTTCAATTTTGATTTTCAGTGAGGCCCGAGAACCAACATGGGTATTGTGGAAGTGGATGGACTTACTTTAACAGCACTAACTCTTGCTATAAGGTATGTGGCAAATCCTTTCAAAAGCGATATTTTGCTCAACCATCTGAACGCACCTATTATCAAAACTATGTGGCTCCCGCCATCGAGTCGTCGACGGCACGGACTGGTCGACATTGCGAAGGTGAAAGGCAGCATCCGGACAGGTTTGGACATCCTCGGCTATCATCATAATCGAGTACTAGGACCTCGATCTAGCTATCGCGTCAAACCTTCCTTCAAACACCCTCTCTAAAACAAGGAAATCAGCGCACTTATCACTGCCTCGCGAACCCGCTCAGCCTTTGAGGTCAATTTCTCGAATGAAATCTCCCTACACTTTAACCGTTTTTCAAATGGCGAGCAAAACTGAAAGCTGTTGGACCTGTCAACCTTCTTGCGATTAAGATTAGCGCCTGGGGCACTCATCCACAGCTCTCACAAAGTGGTTCTAAAAAAGGATGTTTAGAGGATTCATCCTAAAAAAACCGTGAATAAGACAAAAAAAACTGGAGTGGAGGCTCTGGCCGGGCGCTGTCTTCAAAAGAACACGACTTGTATTGTACTCTGATTACACAAGAGAAGTAGCTGTACAGGTACTCCAGCAGGTAACCCTGCGGCGTACCTGTACGGTCACTTCTTTATGTACTTGCTAGGTGGCCTCAAAATATGAGGTCCTTTTCTAATTTGTACAACCAATTTCCTGGTACTTTTCCACCATATAAAAAATACATTCAAAATGAGAAATGAGGACTGCTGTTTGTTGTACTACATAGATGTTGAGTATCGTACTATGTGTTGCGATCTTAAGAGGCTACCGCAGCTTGAATTGACCTCGGATTCACTCATGTATGCTGCTAGTGTCAATCTGGACTTGTATACTCTCTCTGCTCCTTTTTTTATGAAGGTGGAAAGCAAAGCTAACATTGAAGGTTGAGTAAAGAGCTTAAATGGTTCAAAATTTTGGTTTCTTATGCTTCTAATTCAACTACGAAATTGCTTGTAGGGGGAAATACGAATTTGTGAGTTTTTTGCAGCCAAGAATGAAGTCTTTTGGCTCTTTGATCATAGAATATCCTTTCAGACCTTATTCGACGAAACCTGGACCGCTGCGGAGAGCATTTGTGTTTTGCTTGGAGGACATTTGACTTCTATCCATAGCCCCGAAGAAAATCTTTTTGTAACGAGTAATTTCGTTCATTTCATGCGTGAAGTTCTTCCCATATGATTTATTGTAATGTGATTTAGCTCTGTCAAAGGCAAATATCAGACGATCTCACTGGAAAAAGGCAACTTGGATAGGCTTGCATCAAGCACGTTATCCAAGTAGCACAGAATGGACGTGGACTGATGGCACGAAAGTTGACTATTCGCCATTTGCTCCTGGCGAGCCGAATAATCTTGCCAGACGTGAACAGTGCGCACAGGTATCATTTTCGCATAGAGCTTCATTCATTAGCATAGGCAAAAAGATGGAAAGAAAATATTTGCTTCTCTACGGGCATAAACTATCTTTTTTCCATTTCGCTTTTGCGCAGTCTACTTTATTCTGGTTTAATCATTTTTGGAAATAACGCTCATACAGCCCGTTTTTAGCTCTACAGCGACGAACCTCATTATCAGCAATGGAATGACTGGCGCTGCGATACCAAGATGAGGAACTTCGTGTGCAAGAAGAAGTCATTCCCTCTTTTTTAAAGTAACAGTCTTTTGCATTTGATGAATTTATCATTTGAGGCCCTTGGACAATGTGTAAATGGAGTATAAAGTCTCCTCCAATGGTTTCCCTATCTTATATTGAGCAAAGTGGTAACATTGGCAAGTGACATACCATCCTCCGCTATATTTCTCTCAACGGCCCACGAATAGGATAACAATTACAAGCAAGCCGCCAACATTATAGAAAGTTCAAACTCTCAAGTCTAAATGACTCCTGGCCATTGAGGAAGTTATCTTATAATTTTTCTACTAAACGGTAACAAAACTGGGAGGGATATGTAAGCACCAAAGCAACATTTCCATTTCGAGGTTTGTCTTGACCATGAAGTGTTAGGAATAAGGGAAGGATACTTGGTGTCCGTGGCCTATTGATGTGAGACCTTGGCCCGTAGTAAACCCCCATTCATCTCAGTTGATCTGAGATGAGTCATTCAGAAGAACTTCCTAGGCTGAACCTAATCCCGCCCTCTTCCCGTGCTTTAAGAGAGTCAGAAGACTGTCCGGTCAAGTGTCACTGTTAGTCTAACAGAATGCCACTTATGCGAGATTGAATTTTAGGGTGACCCGAGAAAGATAGTGCGCAAAAGAGGAGAATCAGACAAATTTCCCATAAGTTGCTCGTGAGTAACTTATGGGATAATTTAGCTGACGTATTATTGCGGTGCAAGAATGCTCAAAACTGCACAATTTCGGGGCCTAAATAGGAGAAGATCGATGATCATCTGATTGCGGTGAGGAATGAGTAAAAAAGACCTTTTGTTTTTCTTGCACGTCTTGTTTGATTTTTCAAAAAACCGCTTGGAGTGCGAAGAATGGGAATTTATCTTTCTATCCACTTTTGGAAAATTGTGATTTTTGCCGGTATGCATGCCAAAATGCAAACTTGTTTTTTCTTCGTTTGTTACGCGATATCTCTGATAGCGGCCATCATCGATTTTTCGACGGTGGCCGCTATCAAAGACTGCCCAGCAGTGCAGCAGAAATGCTACCACTGGCAGGTCTCGAACCCTGGCCGCACTCTCGGAATCGTAGTGACCTAACCGTTTGATCAAATGTGATCGTAGTTGTATTTTCAAGAACACACACGGTCATCATGTACAAGAGGTGACCCGTATCCAGATCGATGGGTGTATGTCAAGAGGCGCGATTTTTAATGCCATCAACTAGCACATAATAAGGGTTTAGAACATTCTAGAAGTATCTAAATTTTTTAAGGAGATATATTAGATAGCTGCATGGGTTCCTCAATCTTGCTACCTTGGAATCAACTAAAAAAACAATTTTGAAGGTCAAAAATCCATGAAAATGCATTTAAAAACAAATTTCTGGATATTTCGGTCCGTTTTCCAGCAAAAGCTATCAAACTCAGCAATTGGTTATCTTAGACAGATAGTAACCCAATGCACATGTGTTACTTTTTAAAGACTCGCGTAGCACTAAACTGGAGTTTTGTATTGCTGACAGCCAAAGAAATCGCGCCTCTTGACCGTCTCCCTTCTAGGATGGGCTACTCCCAGTCAGAGAAAAGGGACATGTTATAAATCTAAAGGCTTCCATGGAATGGAAATGAAGTACTGAAAAGCAACGAGGCTGAGTGGAAGGAACATTGTAAGTGCTTAAGGGAAGACTCTTAGGAGAAAAAGAAAGGGTGGCTGGAATTGGAATACTGTGCATTTTGGGAGTGTAAACGGTGGTTAAGAACTTCAGTAAAGTATCCAGAGCTTTTGCTAGAAAAACTCGGAAGCAGATGGTTAAAGCAGTTCACTCGACTTGGAAAATTGGAAGTCAGAGAGACATAGTACTCATTCTAAAGAACATTACCATGGCAAGTCAGAGCGTATCTAGGTTTTGGCAGTGTAAAATCTGAACTTCGGGAAAATGAATGTGAAAATCTAGCGTGCTGAATATTCCGGTTAGAAGTGAATATCTTCGATGAGAAACATTGATTAGCCATTGTGACCGAGAGACAGATTTGGAGAAAGCAAAACCGGATGGTTGAAGCTACGTGATGAGTTTGGAAATATTTGTCGGATTTTGTTCATGAAAAGCTTTGGAGTAGAGAAAAGAGAGAACGAATGGTTTATAATTCGATAGCTCACTGGATGCCAGACTGAATCGTTCTACATTCAAAGTAGGTCGCCCCCAGCCGAGTTGCACTGAACAGGGGTTCTCAGACACTCGCGGTTGACGACCGTCGGTGAAACGGAGTTCGACTCATTGAAAACATGCGGAACACCTCCGTTTCGGTCGGGACAATCCGGCTATTAGTTCGGGACAAAACTGCCGAAGTAACGCCGGTCGAGAGTTGTCACCTTTGGTTCGGGATTTGCCTGCAGCACATTTTCCGGTCAAACGCAGGTGAAACACCGGTTAAATGCAGGAGTCCCGACGTGACCATAGGGCATGGATTTAGCCGTAGAGCACTTTTGAATACTGTTCAAATTTCCGGCATACATTCTATACTATGCAAACAACAGAGACTGAATCGACACACATTTATTCATCTCATGTTAACTCAACGACAAAAGAACCAGAACAAACGATAAGAATACTCGTAACAACAGAATCGCAGCAACAAAATTATAGATTTCACAAAGAGAAAGAGAAAAAGCTGCTCTCAACAACAAGAAATTTATACATTTCTGAGCACAAGGTAGCATACAATAAAGAAAAGAAAGAAGACTAGAAGAAATGGCTGGAGTTTAGTGAAGAGATCTCTCTGTTTTAAAGGTGAAAGAGGTCGTGGTCGATCTCCGGCGGTCGTCAACCGCGAATGTCTGAGTTTACTACGGGCCCTTCATTATCAAGTGCATCTTATAGTGCTGATTCCACTGGTGCCTTTGGTTTCTGCTGCGCGCTCTTTCGAAAGAACTTATGAACATTTCTTGCCACCACAATTTGCACTGTTTTGACGACAGGATTCACCAATATCATTGGAATGGTCACTTACGAAAAAAAGTGAAAAAAAGCGTCCAGATGAAATAAAGATTAATTGAGCTTAGAAGGGAATGGCCAGAAGTCGAAGTGGCCAATCCGTACAAGCTGCATACCATTCGATGCAGCATAGAATGTTAATTTTAAATTTATCTTCCATATCTGCAGAGCGCCTTTGTAGGCAAAGTTATGAGCAGCTTTATTGCGAAAAAATCTTATACAAAAATTGCAAATTTAGGCACATTACTGCCCTTTTAGCTCACCTCTAGGTACGGACCATATTGACCTAGTTGCATGTTTTGGTCCAACACTGAGCCGAGAATGGCTTTGTATGGCCAAGTTCGCACTTTATGCGCACAATTTCTCAGCAAAATAATGGCCTTCAACGGCTTATAATTTCGTCCACAAAAGCGCTCTGCAGATATAGAAGGCAGATTTAGAATCAGCGTTTTATGCCGCATCTAATGGTATGCAGCCTGTATGGATTGGCCACTTCGACTTCTGACCATTCCCTTGTTAGGAAAACTGTCTCCTTGGATTCGAGTCTAAAAAGCCTGAAACTGACGATTATGACTGCCTAGGTCTTGTGAATTTAATATGGAAGAAATTCCTTCGTTCAGAGGGTCACGCGCAGATAAAGAACATAGACTAGGAATCAGCGCTTCAGGGCGCGTTCACTGATGCAGGTCTTGCAAAAGGCCACGGTCACTAAGTATCCTTTCCGAGTAAGTAATCCCAAGCGAGAATGAACATTTTTTACCATCCGATTCTTACATGCTTCATAACATCGTAAGTCATTCCTCACTGCTTGCTGGTACGTCTCGTAATATCTTCCAATTCCAACTCTTCTTTAATCTTGGCATAGGTATGAACCGTAGTATGATGTTGAGCAACACGACTAAGATAGCAACTTCTCTTCATTGGCTACGGCGAACGTTTCGGCGCAATCGCCTTCTTCAGACTAGAAGGTCGAATACATAAGAATCTTCTTCCCCTCCTTCTTCTTTATCTTGCTTCTTCATTGACGTCTAAAAAAGGAGATTCTTATGTATTCAACTTTCTAGCCTCTGACAAAGGCGATTGCGCCGAAAACTTGGCCGAATTTAATAAAGAGAAATTGCCATTTTGGTCGTGTTGCTCAACATCATACTACGGTTCATTCCTCACTGCATTTTCAAGGCGGCCCAACTCCATACATGACAATTTACCGGTTTGCTATAAGATGATAGCAAAAAAGCGAGGTATCAGTTTAATGGACATTGCAAATGTGGGGGGGGGGGAGGGCACTGGAGTTACCTACGAACCAATGAGCATAGCGCAAAATAACCTATTTTTCTGGATATAATGCGCAGCAACTTTCACCGCGCGAGAACTGGTGTGCGATGACGTTTATAACGTGCGAAAGTGCGACGCCGCATAAGCAGCAAACTCCCTTTATTTTACCCAACAGCAAATTTTTGTTTTCCTTCATTATGGCTTTCCTCTCAGTTGTGATTTGTTTCAAATCAAATGTCTCTGCTTTCTCTTTTACTCACCAAATCTGCAAAATAGATGAAATACTGGTCGAAAAACCAGAGCTGCCCTCAGAATCAATAGGAAGCACAGCAAAATCAGTAGCGTCAATGAAGATAAAAAAAGCACAAAGTCAGAAAAGTACCTGAAGATATGAGTCCTATGAAACACAGTCACAATGCATTGAGTCTGAGTTTGTTACAGACTCGTTCAGATAGCGCTTTCGCGTCATTGCATTGTTCGCTGCGGCCGGGGGTAAGTGACTTTTCATACGATGAGCAATTCCGAGGTGCGAGGTGTGAACACTCACGGCTAGATGTGAAGTCCCGCAACTCGACATCTAATATACTGTAGTAGGTAAGGTTTTGGGAGGAGGGGGGGGGGGTAGGGGACTTTTCATACAATTGTTTTCAAATTAACCTGACCTTTTGGCAACGATTCAATAAGACTGAAGGCAGTGTCCAAGCAAAAAAGTCGATTTCGAGATTTTGTGCTTACCTGGGCCTATTCGCCATGCTGAATCCGAAAATCAACACTGGAGAGCGCGAAAACGGAGAAAAAAGGCTCCAACGGGGGCGGGGCTGTTCACATGGTGGCGTCACTCTCCCAGCTTCAGGAG